CGTGCCGTTTACGTCCGATGCGGCGCAGGTAATTGAAATTGCTGTGATTTTGTTTGCATAGCATTTCATATCATCGTAATGTAATTTTATGATTTTTTAAATGTAATAATTACCATCGTAAACGCGCATATAACAATAATAATATTAATAATATTAATATTATCATTATCGAAAACAAGTGCGTGTTTGCGCGCGCTGGCGATATTATTATTATTACTATTACCAAACACTCGCCGCGCTGCCGTGGGTACGAGCGAAATGGAAAAGTGCTGCCGCATCGGAAGTGGGGAGGAAACAGAGGGCAGCGAAGGTATATATTATATTATATARTGACGACAAATTAGCAGCCTTCGTGGATACATACGATTGTTTCCATAGTAGTATAGCGCGTAACAGCAGCCACAAGTTGGACGTCGATCGCCGACTGTGGTACACACACGCATATCACACGTTTACGATTTAATATTATTAAAACCGCCACAATGACCAATGATCGATGATATAATATAATATTATGTTTTTTAATCTTGTTCATTCCATACTATAAGTTCTCGGGTATACTAAAAAAGGTGACTATCATATTATACCAGCTCAATATTATACAATATCGTAGTATATATTTCGAGATGACGTCTTAAACGAGGAATACAGTAATATATTAATATTTAATATCGTTGTACACCGGYCACAAATATTTTATAGTTATATCACTATCATATATATACCTATATATAATTATATATATTATATGAGAGTGACATTTTCGTGACGACTCGGACTGATTCAATTCGTGATTTAAGAATATAATATTGTTGTACACACACTATACAGCATTTGATTGATGACAATTATTTCAAACCATGTCATAAACCGATTGACTTTACGAGATTAACGCTGCACCATGAACCCGGCAAATCGTCGTGATTTCGGACGAAAGGTAAGATAACTCTTACGTTTTAATATTAACACTTATATGTGTTGGAGAATGGTGTATTATTATGATATATTGCTTATTTTTTCAATTAGACACAATGTAACAWTAATTTTGTTGTCATTAAAAGTTTTTATTTTATTTTTAATAATTGCTGCAATGCTCAGCCATTGAAGATAGAGATATGAAAATTAATAATTTAATTTTTGAATTAAATGTTCGTATATGCATAATACAATATTATATTATTACAGTTAACCGTATTTTGTTTGGCTTTCACGAACTTTTAATAYATGTACTTGTTGCAGTAACCACGCTCCAMTGAATGGCATACCTAATTACCTACTACGAAATGGATTTTATATGTTAAAGTTTGTACACAATTTTAAGTCACTTGCGTCTAGGAATTATGAATAGGAAAGTTTTTGGTCTGTCGGGATAATTATTGGTTTTCAGTTTTCTTAGATACAATTGTATGTAATCATTTATGATGTGAGTTTATTTAATTTTACAGAAAAAGATTTAAGTCCGTAGATTGTATTATAGGTGGGTACAATGTAAATACTTATAAATTCAGCTAAGTAGTTCGTAAATGTTGTCTAATCCATAATGTACTTAAGCTCACATTATTTTTAAATTAAAACTAACAAATTATTTTAACCTTGTGTTAGGAAGATCTATTCAGTAGGGTTTAAAGATCGAACTAAACTTCTTTTTATTATTCAGACCAATTTAGTGTTCTTGAGGTACAAGTATCTATACGAGACCTTTTTATAAATTCACTGGTGTATGTAACGATATGTAACATCCATTAAAGTCTAAGCCTTTTAATAGTCATTATCTAACTATAAAGTCGTTAAAATTTGTTTATAACAACTGTTTATACATAATGCAACTCATGATTTATAAGGATATAGTCGGAATGTTATAATCACATTTTTACGCGAGTGTTAATAATATTTTGATCTACTTATCTATTTTTTTTTT